TGGTTTCGTCACCCGGAATTATAAGTGTTCGAGTACGGATCATTTTGGACCCGGGGGGCGTACCCTTGGATAGCGTTGATGTCGTAGGGGACTCCTTCAAGATTTGGATCGTAGGCCGGCATCATATAATTTGGGCACGCATGTCCTTCGTGGCCGGCCTCTCAACAACAACCGCACACCTCGGCCATCACAACTTGGGTTGATTTTGCATCCCTTAGGCGAAGTTGCTTTAATTCCTCCTCCAACGAGGCTAGCTTGGCAAGAATGGCATCGTTCGAGGACCCGATGGTTTGTGTAGCCTCATTAACGGGGGTCCTCTTGCGAACGCTCTTCCTTTGCGAATTTTCGCTCATCTCATACAAATTGTAGATTTCCTCCTCCGTGTGGCTCCCTATGTCCCCACCGGCCGCGTGATCGACCATATATTGAAGAGTTTGGTGGAGACCATCGTAGAAGAATTGGTTGAGCACACCGAGGCAAAAGTGGTGATGTGGGCATTGAAGTTGATAGCCTTTGAATCGTTCCCAAGCCTCGTGGAAGGTCTCGCCGATGTTTTGGCTAAAGCTAGCCATTTGGGTCCGGAGGTCGGTAGTCTTTTGGTGCGAATAGTACTTGCTCATGAATTTTTCGTAAACGGCTTCCCACGTATTGAGCGAGCTCCGAAGCAACATCATCAACCAAGTTTTTGCTCTATCTTTCAAAGTATATGGAAAGCACCGCATGCGGAGTTGATTCTCGGTTAGGCCTTGGAGTGGGAATGTGTTGACGGTCGCATAGAAATCTCGGATAAAGTTGAGGGCATCCTCTTGAGCTAGGCCGTAGAATGATGGAAGTTGGTTTAGGTGGATGGTCTTGAGATCATAATTTCGGGCCGCCTCCCCGAGCACGAGACATGATGTGTTGTCTCCGATGATAGGCCGTGCAAAATATCTCATGTTCGGGGGAGGTTGGGGAAGTTGCTCATTTTGATTCGCCATTGGTTCGGGTTCCGGTTGAGGTTCGTCTATGTCGGATTCAACTATGAGGTCGACCGGTGGAGTCTCCTTTTGGGGTTTACGCCCTCGTCTACCTCGCATAAACAAAAACGACAACTACACCCGGTGAACGTATCAATGGGAAACAAGATCAAAACACTAGCAACAAAAACAAATATACGACAAAAAGCAAGAGAAATCAAGAGAAACGCGGAAATTAAGCAAGGTTCACAAAAATCAAGAGAAACACGAGGAAAAAATAGACAACCAAATAGCAACTAGGCGTCCTACTTGCCTTCCCCGGCAACGGCGCCATTTTGTTTAGTATAGAAATGATGGGCAAGGGGTAACCGAGCTACCCGACTCGGGTAGATCTCGAAGGAAGGCTATTCGGAGCTTTGTCTACTAGATGATCGTCCAAATCACAAAAATCGAAAATAAAATCCTAAACATTCTAAACAGTTGATTGGATTGTTGATCAACACTACTTGAACACTTAAAAACGAGCAATTAATAGAAAGCAAGATCAAAAGACGAGCAATTCGCAATCTAGATCACCGGAGTCTCATGCCATAACCAATACGGGATGAT